TGTACGGTGGATATAAAGTGCATCGTAAAATGTGCATCATCTCGATTTATCATCACGCTCCCGCTCGCGCACACGAGCAACAAAATACTTGCTCGCATTCCCTTCCGTCGCCAGTGCGTGGAACATCTCGAGCATGTTCAAGGTTGTTAACCCATTGGGCGAAAATTACGGTTTAGAGTTTTCCGCTTTGTACATGAAAAGAGTTGGTGTAAATGAGTAAAAACAGAACATTGCGCGAAAGATCTTACGAGTTATCAAGGTATTTTATTTTCAGCGATGAGAGAGAATATATTAAGTAAAATTCACGTTTATATTTTGAAATTTGTTAAGTCGGAAGAACTGTCGCATGTGCAATTGCTAAATAAAAATTTGCAAAAAAATGTTATGAAAAAAGCGAGAGAGAGAGAAAGAAAGGCGATAAAATTTTGATTGATCGATTAATGTTCGTCTGCTCTTACAATAACGATTGAATGAAAAATTTAGTAGTTCCAAGATTAAATCGTAGATATCAAATATATTCAAGCCTTCGAATACACGTATACGATACTACGCACTCCATGATTAAATTTTTCTGCACGTAGGGTGTGTCCGTAAATCATTATGTTTGAGACTTGTCGCAGAGCAGTGCATTTACGTACATACTATTAATAATATACTCATGCCCTTTATTTTTTTTTCCACACTTTAGACGTCTAACAATAAGTGCATCTCTTCCGTGATATAAAATTGTATTCTCAATGAGAACTTTAATACAATATCCCTTTCACATATGTACTATCGTTCCGCGCTGATACAAAATTTGCATACTTCAATTTTTATAAAGTTTTACAAAGTGATATCTTATAGATGTGCGGAGCTTTCGTATTTTACGTTTATTTCTCGATATTACGACATTTGCATACATCGCTTCACATTCGTTTCTCGAGATTGGAAAAACTATTATAATAAATCCAACTTCAACGCAATGAAATACATCCTTATAAGAAATATTTTATAACTAAGGTACAACACTAGGAGAAAACATATGACTATATATATACATACATATATATACACATATATATATATATGTACAAAGTCGAGGAAAATATCTCCAATGTATGCAATTATTTTAGAACCTAATAACTTATTAATTTCAAATGTCTGATTTTGTTGAGGACATGTTGAGGAAATATTGATTTCCGAATGGAGACTCGTACGTGAAAATCTAGAATTCAGAGCGTCGATGAGGAATTCCCGACATTGCAGGATCGAAACGCATTGATAACTTGAGTCTCTTGGAGAGGCATACACCGAAGCCCACTCACCTTCTTTCCTTTTCCCTTCCCTTTTTGCCATGACTGCTATGTGTTGGGCCTCCGTCGAGATCCGTAGGCCAGCATTAGAACCAGCGTTGCAAACAGGAATTCTTTCACGTCGAGTCGTAGTTACCTTCGGTGCGTGAGAACTCGTTGGCGAAATAGTTATATTTAACGTTTTATATACGGTCCATAATTTTATTGTGCGTTTCCTTATTTTTACAATTCGTGTTCCGCTAGATTAATGTCACTCTTTTTTTTAAACTTAAACTAGAAATAAGGAAGTACCTTAAAATATATGATTAAATATATAAAAGTATATGGATCAAAATAGGGTGGAACTTTTAGTCTCGAGAAAAATTACTTAAAAAAAATCTTACGAATCTTGGCGAAGAAAATTAAAAAAAGTTAAATAAATGGTGTGTTATATTAAACTTTCGTGCTAAGGATAAGTTGGCACTAAATTGATCGAAGAATCTATAGAAAGGAAGTGCAATATATAACATAATGTAGGAAGCGATTCTAATGTACAAAATTTGAGATCCTTTATACACAATTATTAATAATATCATACCTCTCTCTCGAGCCGAGCCGAATGAACATGTCAATTTTTTCTCATTAATGATAACCGCAGTCAAGATAGCGTATAATTTAAGAAAAATACTTTTTTTCTGTTACATGAAAACGTAAGTTAAATTCTTTGCACCGATACGATGACGAACCTAAATGCTATCATCAGATCAATTTATCGTATCGTTATAGTTACGCAATACTATCAATTTGGCGCGCGATATAATTCTGTGACCCAAATTCGCTGACACGTAAAATCATATGTATATACTTTTAATGAAATGACAAAGTAGACCAGCTACTAAAAATGACACTCATTTTTTTCTCACCTTGTTGAAAATGTTCTATAAAATGTCATTGTGATAATTTATCTCGACTCGCCGAATGTTAAATCGAAATTCAAAATACTCGAAATAATCAAAACGCGTAAGCTCGTTTTGATTATTAATTTATCTTTCACTCTGATTATAAATCTATATCTATACATTTATGTGTGTTTACGTTTTTGTGTATGCCTTATGTACGTTTATCCTTTTTTATATTATAATATTAAAACATAAATTATGTAACATACATAATAACGTACGTAAACTGGAGACCGTTTGTCATAAATCTATTAATTTTTATATTATTCATTATTTGTATAAGACATTTTTAATAATTTTTAACGTAAACATTTTTTAATTATACATTATGTAATTACACTGTTATTTGATGTAGAGAATAGCTTAGTCCATATTAAGCACTACTTATTATATATTTGTCATTATACAAAATGACAACCGATTAGCGTGCAATTGTCACACAACAATGCTTTCTTTGCGTTCTCACGGTATCTTATCCCATTGTAAATTGCAAAATTGCCTCCGAACAACCTGCTGACGTCGGTGAAAGCGAATCGAAATTGCTTATCGTTTAACAAGAATCTCCTTATTACTAATTCCTACATGCCGAATGGATTTACATTTAGCGGCTGATTTAGCTGCCGAATCATTAAAATCGCGAGCGAGAATTTCTAAGCGAAACGCCTGACTGCTCGTGCAATTAGAAGCGCTTGTTTGCACTTTCGAAACTATAAACGAGCGCAGCCAACTAAACAATTAAACTATACAATTTAATGAGTCGAAAAATATTTGTCCCCCAATAGAGACAAAGATCCATACAAGTAGTAGAGAAATTTGAAGAAAAAATTTCGATAGATTTCTCGTTGTTCTTAAAACATTACCACTCGCGTAAAATGTTGTTGTGAAGTATATAGTCACAACTTTTCATACATATAAATCACAATTGCTGATATTTTATTTCAATTGTAATTAGATTACTTCTATTTACCTCCTATATCTACAATATCTCTGCAATTTATTTTTCAAGAAACTTTGAAAGTTTTATAAACGCCTCGTATTTATAATAACCTTTTGTGACTCTTTCTGGAAATTTCTTTGTATGTAAAGTGAGCTGCTGCATAATCGCAGGAAACGCATAATTTTTTTACCAATGAGTATGCATTTACGTAAACTCGTTAATATGCTTAGCGTTATGAAAGAATCAACGATCAATCGTCATGCAGTTACGCAAATGTGATTGACAATTCACAGTTACTAAATGTATTTACGGAACTTATTCAAGAAATATTTACACCCCCTATACGTAATATCACGAGACTCGCATTGCGTATTAAATAGAATAGCGTACAAGAACCTTGATTTAGAACCGATGTGATCTACACGACACAAAAGACACATATGTATTATATCTTGCATGAATTGTTATTTTATACATACCTATGCCACAATCGATAAATTTATGGATTTATTGATTTATATATTGTTCACATCCTTCTCTGAATTTTTCGAGTATTATTTAAGTTGCTTGCACGCGGTTGCATGGTTAACATTAGAGGAGAATGATGAGGAATTTCTCTTGGAACAAATTCAGAATTTCACATTCTTCGCACATAGTTATGCAAAAATTAATCGTCGTCTCAGTTTCTCTTCTATCGGGAATGAACCATCGATGAGCGTGTAGATTCTGTGACGCATAAATTTACACGCGAAGCGATAAATCTTTCCGCTAGAAAATAAAGAAGAAAAATATTGCTAGGACACCGTTTTACGGCTTTAAAATTCTCGTGCCATATACAAAATTTCAGCGAGTCCTTCCTTGAAATTAAACTACATTTACAGGAATTATTTTCGTTTTAATTAGATTTTTATGAATATTTTAATACTCGTATACAAAAAATAATTATAAAAATATTTAATAAAGTAATTAATAAGAATATTTGAGTAAGCTGTCTGTCTCTCTCTCTCTCTCTCTCTCTCTCTCTCTCTCTCTCGATATTTGACTTTAACTGATTGTGAGATAATTAAATCATAGGTATATGTGGATTATTTCCAACAAATAGAAATAACATATTACGCAAAATGTTACGTTAAAGAATGTGATATTTGCAAAATCTTAAGACACGTTAGTCGTGCATAAGAATTACGTTTAATGCAATTACGAAACAGGTATAGAAGGAAGTGAAAAGTGGACGAGACTACTTACACGCGAGTTAAATGGCAGCGAAGTGTCCAAACGAGGTGAACGATTAGTTCTATGAGCGTAAAATTTCACCTTCGAAAATAAAGTTTAGTAACTCCGGGAGGAGTACCTACTAACGAGAGGAGGCGCCGCGTGCAAGAAATTCCAGACATGTCTGGCAAACGAATTAAACTCATTGGAATTTCACTTTAGCGAGGGGCAAAGGGGTGCTATAACTTTCTGCTGGCTTTCTTGAGTACCAAGTATGGCACTGCTGACCCGATAGCCGGATATACGGCGACGTGCAACGTGCAAGCATCGACGCTGCTGTCATTATGTTATTGAACCCGGCTACTCTACGCCTGGCAACACAACAATATATAGTATCCTTATGACTAACAAATTGCACGAGCCGAAATGAAAAGACGACGAAACCGGTCACGTATAAATTAAAGGGACCCTCGCGAACGCAAAGGCCAATTAAGATTTTCGTACATATATATACTCTTACTGGCTTACTCACCCGTGACGAATTATAATCTGACACATAATTCGAAACCTCTTTTATCGATGTGTTTCATAATGGGAACTTTGGCTCTTCTGTTTCAGTTATAATCCGCGCGGTACATCCTGGTTACCATGCCGTACTATAACAGTGGTCACAGTCCCGCTTACAACAAAGGTGAGCAACCTGCTCGTTTGGATTATACCGTGGAATTAAAAAGCTAATTACATTTCGGAATAAATTATCATTCGCTAATATACCGTTTGTCTGGCAATTTCATCTGATTATCACAAATCTCTCGCAGAAAATAAAGACAAAACTGAAAGAGAGTATGAACAAATTAAGCAAATTTAAACGTCATTGTGCACTGATTTAGAAATAAAGGCTAACACGATTGAAAAAATATATTTATGAGATTATACAAATTAATTAAAGAATTAAAAAAAATTTATATAACATTTTGTATTATAAGATTATTAACCCTTAAACGCCACACTATGGAAACGACACACTTGGGTATGGCGTACCTTACCCAACAATTCGATTGCTTATAACTTTCATAAAAGTCATGAACAGACTTCTTAAAATTATTTTTCAATCGAAACGTCAGACTTTAAGAAACATAATGGTACCAAGTAAATGTACATATGTATCTTTATTAATAAAAAATTAAGTTATATAAGCAAGCATTGGAAAAGCATTGGAAAAAGAAAACTGGGTACGGCCACACCAGAGTAGTTTTTCAGGGTTAAGAATAGAGAAGCGAAAGAATATCGAAAGAAGAATTTTATAAATTAACTATTAAAGATGAATTTCATATTTCAGATGGTGGCTCCAGTGGACCATCGAGCACTTCTGGCGGTCGCGCCAGTAGCTCGGAGCCGACATATATGATGGAGCACTTGGCCACGTTCACCGTCACGAAGGAAACCGGTATTGTTTATCCGGCGGATGGTATGCGCCGCCTCTTACAGTTGGAGAAAAGTAATGGCATCTGGAGTCAAAAAATGCAGCTCCGTCTTGAACGAAACTGGGTCCTCATCATGGACAACGAAACAGGGGTAATTTTTACTTCTTTTTTACAGCTGTAGAAGAGTTCTACCGTAAATGCACGAGCACCCGGAAAATGTCTGCGCAGGAAAACATTGCGATGCTTATATTTTATCACGTTTTCGAGTCTCAATATAAAAACCTGCTACCTTTGAGGCTATAATAAAGTGACATTGTACAATAAATGAAATTAATTGTTCGATATGGCCGGACATGATTTATATAAATATCGTGTCGATCTGTCGTGTTACGCAAGAAAATATTATAGATTGTATGCGTGTCCAAAATTACTATGTATCTATAATATATTAATGACAATTTCATCTAATGATGTACAATTGAAAATTTCAGGCCATTATGGAACGATTTCCTGCTTCCTTGATACAGGAACCAACGGCATTTACGTCGAGAGACCCCATGGAGATGTACAACAATATTTTAGTTTTCACGGTGGCTGACGATAGTGGTTCCAACCAGCGAGCGGAGATGCACATATTTCAATGTCAAAGTGTATCGGCACAGGACCTCGTCGAGGACCTCAAAATGCTGCAAATGGGAAAACTGGTCACAGGTGACTCGCCGCGGGGTCCTAGAGGGCACATTCCACCACCACCTGCCTTACCACCCCCGGAACCACCCTTGAACGGCGTTAACGTCAGGGAACAGGTGTCTGCTTTCAATGCGGCGAATGGTGAGTACGCAGTTGTATCAAAGTAATATTTTCTATCGGAAATCATGCATGTTTGGACATATTTTTATCATTAATTTGAAATACAAGTAGAAAATTTATGAAAACTTGCGCAGTAATGATGTTTGTGCTCCATTTAATATAATCGAAGCTCTATTCTTCTGTTTAGTATAATTGAAGTTCGCGATTCTTGAACAGAATATAACATTATATAACGTTAGTACATTGAATATATCTGTGTGTAAATTTAATATAGCAGATGGGCAGAATGATATGTCGCGAGAGGAGAACAACGACGAGGTATCATCGACGTCGTCGGAGAAATATGAGCGTGACGTGACGATCCTGAATCATTGCTTTGACGACATCGAAAAGTTCATCGCGCGTCTGCAGCATGCAGCTGCCGCGTCTCGGGAGCTAGAGCGCCGACGACGTAATCGAAAGTCAAAGAAGAGAAACCTCGGCGACGGTATGCTCACGATGAGAGCAAAACCGCCGCCCGAGATGGAGTTCATTGATATCTTTCAGAAGTTTAAGCTTTCGTTCAATCTTCTAGCCAAGCTCAAGGCGCATATCCACGATCCTAATGCGCCAGAACTTGTACATTTTCTCTTCACGCCGCTCGCGCTCATCGTGGATGCCTCTCACGATACCAATTACGATCCGAATTTACCTAGTAAAGTGGTGTCGCCGCTTCTCACACGGGAAGCGGTCAATCTGCTGATAAATTGCGTCACCAGCAAAGAGACTGAGCTGTGGCATTCACTGGGTGACACGTGGTTGATACCACGTGATCAATGGAAAGTACATGTACCGCCATACCATCCGATCTTTATGGACGGCTGGTCACCAGAGTATCCTATTCCCGAAGACAGGGATCACGATCATTTAGCGTCCTTATTGAACGCGGATAAACAAAAGAGGGATGAGTTACCAGAACAACAAAACGATCCTTATTACAATCACCGCGACGTGGATGAATCGCATTATAGCAGCGATTATTTAGAGTACGAGAGCCGAGAGGAACGTGGTGGTAACGAATACTTTGATAGGAATTATGGGCCGAGCTCAGAATTGTATGGCCGTGAAGAAAGAGCTGATCAGACCAGGGCGCATAGTGACATTTCCGTCGACTCGATCGAGAGAGCTCCCAGAACAGCCGCTGGAATAGAGAGAGCACAAGAGGCTTGGTTGGATGAATTAGTAGCACGCCACGCTAAAATCGTGCAAGTTACTTATCCACGAACGGCGAACAATGACAAGGAGCTCACGGTAGTCAGGGGCGAATATCTGGAGATTCTTGACGATAGCAGGAAATGGTGGAAAGCGAGGAACTCCCGAGGGCAGGTCGCTCACGTGCCACACACCATCGTTACGCCGCACAATCCCACTACTCATTCTACTGACAATGATGTCTTTAACAATCCTCTATACACCAGTAGATATCCAAGACAGGGGCACGGCTATAATTATGAGGTAAGAGTTATTAAAGAGATGTGAACACATTTTCGGATAAAGTTTGTCGATGAAAGATTACATAGACAGTATAAGAGATGTGAATATATTTGTAGATAGTTGCATGCAAAAGTAGGAACACAATTATGTTGGATTGTTATGTACTAATGTAATATGATAGTATAATATAATTAGACAACAATATGTGTATATAACTGTAATATGACTGCAGTGACGAGTCAAAAACCTTAATGTATTGACGATGCATTTTAATCAAATTGTTACGAGCTTACATTAGAACGCACCGCAGTGTACTTTATACATTGCAAAAGACAGAGCCCTAGATTCACTCCCTGAAGACATATAATTAAGAATTGAGAGTATTGGTCTAATGTAGGTGTTATTAAATTAATTATAAATTTTACGTATTTAATATGTAATAGACTTGATTACATGTTAAAGGATTCAGAGATTGAGAGAACCAGCACTAGTCCGGGTCCGGAAGCCACTCATCGAACACATGCGATTCCACCGCCAGCGCCTGCTGATTGGGTGAGAAAGGAAAGACTTGGGAAAAAAGGTGAATTTCGGTACTTTTAAGTCATTTATCCAGCTCACGCTTGAATGCCTGTTATTTTTAATCGAATTTGAGCAGTTTCTGATAATTAGGAAAAGTATCAAGCTATAAATTTCAGATTTTTCATTGTCTCTTATATTATGATATAAATAAGATTTTTTTTAGCAATAACGAATGTCTTCCAAAATCGAAAGACGTTGTCTTGACATCGCTACATTAAAGTCAATATATTAATCCAAAACTAATATACATAAGAGATAAGAGTACGTGCATCACGTTAGCTATAAACGGACTGTAGCATAATTAATCGTTAGATCATCGTCCAATTAGTACATCAATTAGCACACTTGTGAAGGGATATTGTACTTAATATCTGATGATTTTCTTTTGAATATGTACATATGTGAGCGTAGACTGTATGAGCCATTCAAACGATTGCAATGAGAACGTAGTATTCTAAGTGTTTCGCAATTAATCTGATATATTGATCGTTCATAGAGTGACACCAGTAAATTTTGTTTTTTTTTACATATGAGTATATTGCTCTCGTATCTTTGCATCACAAAGTCATTGTCTGTCTCTGTCTTGCATACCTACGTACAATGTTGCAGCAAATTGCACAGTTTTCATTGTTGAAAAGGTTAATAAATATGGAGAAAAGAAAGTTCTAAATTCTAAATATATAAATGAATAATTCATTCTATATTATGACTGTACATATGATATGACTGTATATTCATAATAAATTTTTTTCTTATATTGATTATTTTGTTGATTTTCCTTTATCATTATCACAGATACAGACATTGTGATTAATGGTAATCAGAAACGAAAGTGCAATGGTGATAGCAAAGATACCGAGGGGAACTATTTCCCGATGCAATATGACGTATTGTCGGACACTTTAAATAAAAGTGAAGATTTTAGGACCACGTTTAGTGTGAAATTAATTAATAAGCCGTTCAATAATGAAATCTATTAGCTATTGGGTAGCAGTGACTATCAACCACATATAAAAGTATTGAATTATACGAATCTCGTAAGACGTTTGATTAAATGAAAAAATCGATAATGACAATCGTCGAGCATTTAACGTGGTTGAAAGTTACCAACTAGTTTCTAATGCTATATTTCTGATAATCAATTGTATCGTCACATATACTGTATGTTATCTTTTGTATTTATCGACTAACCAAATTTAGCTGTGTAGTTTACAACGAAAGAAAGAAAAATCGATATATATGTTATATACTATACTTATTACTTTATACATGAAAATGTTACGATATCGGGCGTTAATTCCCGCTAAGATCGAATATTTTCTTCCGTTAAAAAGCACTCACTAAAGCAATGCAAGTTATACGGAGTATGAAATAATCTAATTGTAAGTATCATATAAACGCGTATATGTAAACGCGCGGTTAAATTAGTCGGGACGATAATATAATATCTACATTAGATATATGTATATTTCCGTTGAAATTATAACTGTGTTTGTCTTTTGTCCTTATACTGGGGCTTCATTGCGAGAAAAAATTCTACGACTTCGATAAAAGCTCTTGATAAGAATTACATTATCTGGGACAGGGTTGTTAACAAAAAAGAAAAAAAAATTCCCTGATTTTTCCAGGTTTTTCCGGTCACTTTTTGAATAAAATTTCCTGACTAAAACCTGAAAGATTCTTTGAATAAAAACAAAGAAAAATATTAAAATTTTTTTCTATGTGAATTTATATTAGGGCTCAGACAAAAAATTCGAACATGTTGAATATTCGATCTATTCGGATAGTTCGAAATTAAAAAAATGAACATCTAATTCGAATATTTCGGACAGTTCGAACAGTTCGAGCTTAAGCAGTGATTTTCCTGACTTTTCCCGGTTTTCCCTGATTTCCCTGACCGCTAACAACCCTGTGGGAGAATATTTAGAAAAGGAAAATATGGCTTTTCTAATACTACAATAAGTTGTCTCGTTCATCTCTGTTTTTATATCAACAGCTTTTATTGACGTAGCAAATCTTTTTGCCGATCCTGCTTGTACGTGTCATTGTCGCATGCATTATGTATGTATGATGTAAATAAGCTTGTACAAACAACCGAAGGGAATACGAGAGAAAAGGAAGCTGTAAGAAGATTGAGAGAAAAAAGATATACTATACATATGTATGATAAATTGTCATAAAGTTTAAAAATATGAGAAATACGAGAAATTAACGAATGAGATCTAATCGGTCTTCATATAATTGATATTAATTTCATTAAGTAACTCAGGATCTTAACTTTTCTCGATACGTTTCTACATCTCTAAATCTTATTTACTATCGAAGAAAAACAAAAAAGGTACAAGCATAGAATACAGAATTGATGTTATTTTTTTGCAACTTGCATTATTTATTGTCATATATTTAAACCCATATCAAAGTGTTGACTTAAACGAAATAATAACTAGTCGACCAAGAAGTCAAATAAGCAATATAATAAACGTGGACAAGCAGTACAAGCTCTTGTTATTCTTTCTCTGTTACAGATACAATCTCTTCATATTCCTTTATTTATTGTTAGATTGTGATGTTATATCGTAATCGTATCGACAAAATGCTCTTCACAATATAGTAATCTAGAAACGTGACATATTTTTCGTGAGAATTTCCAATGTGTAAAGATAAAAACGTAAGCGACTACGTGCTATCTCCTATCTTTTTTCCGCGATCGATTCATGTATTATTTTAACATTTATGATGTGTGTGTGTCCATGGGCCGGGAATGACGATCCGTCAGTATTTCAGTATACTGTAACTTTTTATGTGCACATCACTTATTATTAATAAACATGTACTTATGCGAGATTATCGTCGTTGTCCCCATCATTCCTCTTGTTTCCTGCGAATCGTAACGACTATTAGATATAATTGTAAATTGTTTTATTCAAAGATACATTATTTAGTGTAGTGTTAAAAAATTCACAACTTGTGTGACAGACATGCACATACCACATGATGAACGGTGATTTATTATCTTGAGAATTAGTAGAAATCAAATTTCGTACCGCAGAATCTGAGATTGTTATGGTTATAGCGCTTAAAATATATATATGCTTAATGTTCGTCCAGTACACTTAAGATTCTGTGTAGTTTATGTGAAAGCTTTGGGGTAAGTTATAGCCTTTTCACGTATTTTATAATAGCTTGTCCATATTGTGGCATGCATTATGATTTATCAATGAATAAATCAAATACTTATGCGATAAATAATTTCTCAAGGATAATTAATGCAAATTAATTTTGCAAAATTGTTTTACAGACGATATTAGTGCATACAATGGAAGCATCAGTAATAGCAATAGATCTAGCACATCTTCCATCAAGAGCATCTCTCAGTCGAACGGAAAGTTTAATATGCAACAAAGCGTCGTGGAAGTGCACTCGCCACCTCACGATATAATACTGGATATAATACCCGACAAGCTAATTATACCGCCTACCATCACACCGATCGCGACACTACCACCAACAGAACTATTCACATCGAAATCGACGCCAATCCTACCTGAATCGGAATCAGCACCAACATTATCCACATCGAAATCAGCGCCAACACTATCTGTATTGAAATATGCACCCGTATTACCTTCAGTAAAATCGATACCAGTATCATCTGCTGTGACAGCACCAGTATCACTTACACCGGCATTAAATTCATCGACGATACCTCCAACACCTCCACCACTTCCACTACCGCTGTCATCAACACCAATAGGATCTATCTCATTACTTCAACCCCAAAAATCTTTACCGTCAACTTTTATGCTTAATAAAGTGGGAACTTTCAAAACTAATAACTTCTCCAATGGTGAGTATATAGCTTCAGATATTAATAAAAAATTGTTTTATCTAATGATCCCTCTTATATTTATTAAATCCTGACTATTTTATAATATGATGAACTATACAATTAAATGTAAATAAATAAAGTTTTTATAATTAGCAACTATCATTTATATTGAATGTATTTGTGGCACATGCTTTCAAAAGGTCTCTCCAGTCAAGAAGAAGTTCAAAAGGAGCTTAAGTTCGTCCTCAGGATATTTCGAGAGAAGAAAGCAAATTCTTCCATTAATAACAACACGCAAGAAATTTGGTTGAATCAACATTCGACTTCTCAACAAGTTCAAACTTGGTTAGAAGCCAAAGGATTCTCGCAAAAGTGCATATAATCGTAATATAAATAATAGAATTAGTAATTTATTCATCATTCAATACAATATTTTATTTATTACAGAATTTGCAAACAGTTGGAAACTATGAACGGCACAGAATTGTTCAATTTATCACGGCGGCGATTGGAACAATTATGTGGATTGTCCGAGGGAAGTAGACTCAATGGCCAATTAACTTTAGCGAAAAACGAATGTGAAGTAAGTATACTAAAGAAAAAACCTTACAATATGTTTATAATACTTTTCGATTTTTTTTCTTTTTAGTATAAAACCGCCCGATCGTCAGAGCTCAAACAAATTTTAGAAAAAGCGCGTCGAAGAGCGGAGAAGTTAAACGATAAGGATGAAGTCAAAGAGTGAATCATTCTGTTCTTTATATTTCGTACGCGAATCGGAATGTTGCAAGTACTTTATTATCACTGCGCATTCAAAAAAATGGAAGGTAAAATGCAACGTATGTATTTTTTCGTAATTTTTCGTAGATACCGAAGTAATGCTATTGAAAAAATATAATGGAATTATATTATTTTATCTTCTGTATTGTGATAATTATTTATTACGAGAAAGCAATATTGCATATCAAATGGTTTTTAGCAAACAGCTAGCAAATGTATAATAAATTAATTCTGATGTTCTTTTGGAACAATGTTCATTATATCTTAACGAACTTAAGATTTGTTTTCTGTTCCTGCACTGGTTGCACTAGTTCAAAAAGTGTACACTAAAGTGTTTTCTGTTTCCAAAATGGTGTTAGCGACGCTGTTTTTTGTTCTAATACAACAGAACTCAATGCACCAGTTCACTGAACTGGCTGTACCAGATCATAAGTCTGTTTTCTGTGGCTGAGCTAGTGTACACTTTTGGAACTTAAGTGAGAAAGGTATACGTTTGATAATAATAGGTCTATTCGCGTTACATGAATATATATTTGGCCTTGAAAAGAGAGAAAGCGAAGATGCCGAGTGCAAAAAGTGCAAACAACGTGAACAGATATATTGATATTTGTCGAAAGCGAGAAAGAGTTCTAGTGCAGCCTAATGCAGGAATAGAAAACAAACCACTGGACTATCTGGAGTCAATGCAAGCACTAGTGCACACTAGCAGCTTCAGCCACAGAAAATAGACCTTGTACAAATAGCGCGAGAATATACGAATAATAAAACGATAAAAATGTATAAATGATAGTAAGTCTACATATAAAAATATTTTGTACCATCATTATCTTCAATGAAGAATATTCTTAATGGTGGAATTGCATTAATACTTTCATCTTCATCACACGAATCTAATATTTCCATGTAAATAATATAGGACACCATTTTTATCTTGCACTAGAACGTTTTTTGCACTAGTGCAGTTCAGTTCAGTTCTAGTGCAATTCTCATGCAGGAATAGAAAACAAACTTCTTGTTGTAGAAATATACAGAGATAAACAGAGAGATACGTATATACTGTATGTACACACACGCGCGCACGCACGCACGCACACACAATATATAAGTTGTTTCTCAGTATGTTTTTTGAGTCGAGAATTTAATTAAAGTATTTAATTTGAAATAAATTTATTGTGTATGTATATATATATATATATATACATATATGTGTGCATATATATATATATATAAAATAAATGAAATTGCTTTAGTCTCAACAGGAATATATTAAGTAAACTTTAAATTTAAATGTTAATTAAATTAAATGTTGCAAAAGAAATATATCGAATGCAGTATTGATATTAGTAGGGTTGTTAACGTTACATAAAAAAGTAACGAAGTTATTAATTTCGTTACTTTTTTTAATAACGAATGAACAACGTAGTTACTTTTTCTAACGAGTAACAATAACGGTAACTAAGTTACAATTTTCAGTAACGAGTAACGAAATCTTACGTTACTTTTCTCGTTATTCTGTTGATATAGAGTTAGGAAATCACACGGTTTGGAAAAAGACTGCGGAATAGAGAATGCGTCATTGAAACAACCAATCAGCGCTATTCCCCACTTTTCCATCAAGTTTTGTATGCTATGTTCACATGGTGCGTCAAAGATGCATTCAGGATGAATATAATTTAAAAGAAAGACTTTTTAATATTAGTGGACTCGTTTTGTCGAATCTTCGACACCGCCTAACAAACGGACATTTTGAACAACAATTGTTATTAAAGAAAAATTCAAGATTCAGGGAAATAAATCCATCATAATTTAAAGTTAAAAAATATTCTGCTATTTCTAAGGTAAATTGATATGTATCAAAAATATCAAAAACAAATAAAGAACTCATATAAAATAAACAATGAAATAAAGCTAACATAATCTAAAATAAAACAAAACTATAAATTAAAAAAACGATTTATTCTTATGTAACTATATTTATATAAATATAATTATTTTCTGAAAAGTAACAAAAAAAAGTAACGGTTTTTTTCCTTTTACATCGGTAACGAGTAACGTATTACTCTTTACCGCAAGTAACGGTAACTGTAACACGTTATTTAAAAACGGTAACGTTAACAACACTGGATATTAGAAAATAATAATTAAATGAATATGTAATCACAGTATGTATATGACATAAGTATATGATATTATTAATTTATCTTCCAAAAAATTATTAAATCGTTAATGAAACGACAGTAATAATCAGAGAAATGTGTCTCTTCTGCGTATCTTCATTTTATTTTTATTACGTTAAATATACATATTATATATGTATATAAAGTATTTTGTGACGCTGTGTGTGTGTGTGTGTGTGTGTAGAATATATCAGTGTTTCAGAATTCGCGGACACGGATTGCACAGCGTGATTGTATGTGCCAAAAGAAGCAACTTTTTCCTCTGGTAAAATTGCGTTCAAACTACTTAGTACTTTTTAAATGAGAGCAAGTTTAAGTTAACGAATGATCGCTCCATGTTATACATGGATCATGTATAACATGCGGCGCATACCCACGAGGCGGCCCGATGCATGTACGTTATTATTTCACTATTTTGCTAAAGATTTTATAAAAATTATGTATGATATCTAAATGTCACTATTTTGAATACAACTTATTTAAGAAGAGAATGTTTTCTAATTGATATCGCTGAAGAAACGACTGAAAGTAAAATAAGTAGATTAGACAGCTCGTGAATAATTATGATATTTAGATATCATGCATAGTTTTTAGAAAATCTTTTAGCAAAATATGACGTACATGCTCATACGCCGAGCTGCGCCGTGTGTGTGCACCGCCCCTGATCCATGGGTAACGTAGAGCGCTCATTCTTTAACTTAAAATTGCTCTCATTTAAAAAGTACCGTTTCAACGCAATTTTTCCAGAGGAAAAAGTTGCTTCTTTTAGCACATCAATCACGCTGTGCAATCTGTGTCCGCGAATTCTGAAACACCCTGTATATTTGATCTACAGTAACCTGTCTAAGATCAAGAAAAATCACAGATTATGTTACTTATGTTATATTTATTTAAAGCGATCACATACATCATAACAGACATAAATAGGATACTCTAGATGTGTCATTTATCTCGATAAACTATACATTCTTTCCGAGTACTTGACACGAGGTCATGTAACGTGAACACATTATAATTATAATATGCTATTTGTTCTTAAAAGCACTCTTATATACCATTTAAAATAAATAAATGTCACTGTAGATATCCAACAGTGATAACATAAAAATCTTCGACATTGGTATAAATATCAACAGCATTACATGCAAAGTATAACTCTCTGTGAAGTTTAATTGATAACAACACGTTAAAATATTTCAGTACTATATAAGATACTTTATGAATTAATTGTCTTATAACTCGCTATCTTCATTGTGCTCGTAATGCTCGAAATGATATTAAATAGATTTTTCTTTTAATATGCAAATCTTTTTCAAAGTATTCAGTTTCTCTCAAAATAATTCTAAATAGTTTCATAAAATTGACACAATGGAATTTTTAAGACACAAAAAACTTTGCGTAAAAAGTATTTTGTGTCAATTGTACAACTTCTAAAGAAGTTACATGAATATAATTCGTTACTGTTTCAAATAAGCACACGTCACACATCTTGATTATCATTAATGTAGTATAGAGATACCTAGAAATGTCTGCAGAATTTTGATAGAAAATTTATTAGAAAATTTTTGATTTCTAATGTTGCTTTGGTCTTTCATACTTTGACTTACATAAGCTCTAGTCGTAAAGACTAACAGTTCTTTTACACATGAATGATTACACATTTAACTTGTTATGCGATGATGACGATTATGTGATTACAATTTATTATTTTCGTCATTATTTCCTTATTATTATTATTATTATATATGTATATCAAAGAAAATTCAGTAGTACTATGATATTTTAAAATGTTCGAAGTGTCAACGTGTCGTGGATAAAGCAGTTAAAGTGATAGAGAAAAATAATGTTCAATATTTTAGATATAAAAGCAGGTAAATTTCATGATATATAGGTTCCTATAAATCGGAATGTTGGATAATTTGGATTACGTGAAATGATTAATAACATGTAATGAAAACGTATCTGTGAATGTGTTTCTTAAATTAAGAAAAGTTTTTACATTTAGCAGCGATGCACTCGTATAACATGATTTCCTATTTTGCTCTTATCGTAAAAATCTTACAGTGATGATATGAGCGAACAAAAATTTGTGCGTCTTTTTTCACATCGTGCGTTCGCGCGGACGTAGTGAAAGCGGAGAATCGGTATTAGCATTGCTGTAAATTTCTGCCGACAGGATTTACATATACCTACATGTTAAACACGGAAATTCTTAATTTATTGATAATCGATATTTTCATTATTTACCAAAGTATAAATCATTTATACGACCTAAAATTACTTTCCTTTGGTGTATTGCCTCTAGAATCTTACAGCCAGTATAAATTGATCGAAAACATAATTGTAAAAAGGTGATTAATATAAATAACAAGATTCCTTTGGCTTACACGCTTATGTTGACAACTTATAACACATTGTGTTGCTTATAATGCATAACGAATGATGAATATTAACTGGTCGCAATCAATTTAGAATGCAACTTTGTTCAATCTCAACATTTTTAGTAAACCTCCGACAAAACATATAAACTTCTATACAGTAGTTACATAACAGTGATTCTTTTTAAATTAATTTTAACTAAAACTGCATTTTTATATATATATTTAATAATCTAATTAAATGTGTTTACTGAAGTATTTTCTTATTTCGTAATGTAAAGTAATATTAATGTTTGTGCTTTGTTAACGAAAATAAACGAGACAAATAAAATAAATCGAAATAAATACATATATGTATATTTCTTAATTGCAATATGTAAAATATCTCATGTTCAACTTATATATAGCTTTGAATGTGTTGATGGAAAGCCTTTAATCTTGACTTAGCAACATTTTGTATATACGCAACAGACATCAATTGCCGTTAAAATTAAATTTCAAGTAGAGTTCCATGGCTTTTCGATTAATACACAAACACACATACGAAGGTTAATCCAAAAGTAAGTTTCTATTTTAGGAAAAATAGAAAAACAAAGCTTAAAAATCGGAAAAAATTTTTTTTTAACTTATACTTTATTTTTAAAAATCTACATTTTTTTAATGCATTTGTTGTATCATAAAAAAAGATCTTTCACACCTTGTATCACGGCGTGTTCACTTTTCGCGAGTCGTCTACGATCAATCAAAAAATGAGTTTCTCTATTTTTTTTCACGTAAGAAACGATTCTGGGATGCGTTCGGAAATGTTATCCTCGAGTGCCTCCGTATATCGTTTTATGATTTATTTTTGTTCGTCCAATGTTAAACAAGTATAAGATGATACACGGAGATATTCGGATAAGATTTCCGAACGCAGTTTTGAATGGGTTCTTAGAAACGCCTTCCAAACTCTTCGGATCTTGCTACATAAGCGACTTCCATCTCTTCCCCAAATTGAAACTCTAAGCGGTTATCAGCGATTTAATAATAACGAGGAAGTTAAGACTGTTAATAGATGGCTCATGAAAATGGGTACGCCGTACAAACAAGGCGTGGGAAAACCTTTTTCACGATACAATAAATGTAGAATAGAAATAGAAAAAATTGTGAATTTATAGAAAAATGACCAAAGTATAATGAGTTAAAATAAATTTTTTTAGATTTTTAAATTTTTGTCTTTCTTTTACATAAAATAAAGACTTACTTTCTAACTAATCCTCGTATAATTATACCACAAGGTGCAACTAGTCCATATAAATATATTTGTATAATACTACTTCACGTCATAAATAAATAAAATTTTTTATCAATGGCTCAATGTAAGTGCTGTAACTTAATAAAAATACTACGTCTTTCTATGTTTCTTCGTAAATTCGCTTTATCATGGACAATAAACGAGCAACTGTCTTATTAATAATGTGATATTTGTAGCTAATATCACATTAGCACATTACATATCACACCTGATTATATAGGGTAAGAATCATCTTAATCACATTATAATTTTTCCTTTGAAATTAAAGAAATCATAATACAATATAAGAAAAGAAACAAATTATTTTATCTTGTACCAAAGTTAATAATAGGTAACAAAGGGTTTTTTCTAAGTTTGATCTTAGAATCTTCAGAGATTGTTCATAACAATCATAATTGTCGTATGAAAATCGTATGGAAATAAATTTTACAAAATACATTATAAGCGTACATATCCATAAAATAATTAACTTTTTTCTAAATTATCAAAGTCTTTGTTTCAAAGACATTTCGTCCAATATATCATTGATCTATGACATAAATCATACGATATACGTATACTTTTATGTATGTAACAATAAATAAATCTTGAAGTAAAAACAACGAAAGTGATATTAAAGAAAATCTATTAACACAACGTTGTCAAAAATCAAAGAAAATAATTTTTAAATGTAGAAATCGGAAAATGGACCATGAATAATGATTCAAGCAAGCCAATGCAGCGATGAAGCGATAATGAAGCGAAAGTAGAACGATTAATATGAATATATGAACGTACAACCTATTGGCCAGTGGCTTCCGTATCCTCCTTCGATGGAACAGACCTTGATCGATAGGAATACAATGTAAAAATGATTTTGTGTGACATTAATGAGTAGCAAACCTAAAAGCGGATTGATACTTTGAAACGAAAATGTGTATGTTGGTATTATGACGGATAAAAGGAGTATGAGACCAAGGAAAGAATAGAAGTGAAATCCCATTCATATTTTCGCATTAAGTGATCCTTATACGTAAAGCTTGATACTCTTTCTTTTTGTAAAAATTACCAAAAACCTCCCGCACTGCGCCCGCCCGGTGGATTATTTACGCGAATGCATGCCCTTCGTGCTTCTTCGACATCCTCTGTAAAAAAAACGCGCTTATATTCCTAATATGAAGAATGAAACAAACGAAATAAAATAAATCCCACTTGATTTACGATAGTTCAAAGTCCGACAATTTAAGGTTATTCTTTATTAGTATGATACCACCAGAAAATATATGTCACGTGTCTAAAGATTAAAAAAATATTTTATAATAAGACTCACCGCTGATAGAGAAAGTAGAATCTTGTAGGTTTCTTTGCCCTTCGAGTCTCGGACCCTTCGTGGATGGTGTCACCACGGCGGATTCCGGCAAAGTAGGTACACAAGTGACAGATTGCAATTTTATCTTTGGACTGTCGTGAATTGAACCATTCTGATTGACTCGTGCCGCTGCCGCAGCTGCCGCTTGTTCCTTAGCCTTTGCAATTGCGGCGTCTTCTTCGGCATGTCTCTTTGCCTCTGCTTCGGTTCGTGCGACTCCACGTGGTTTCTGCGCAGTTACAATATAATTTCTAATATTTCAGTAATAAAATTTTGATTAATATTTAATTTTATTCTAACTTATTCGAGTTTTAAATTAATTAAAATTTAATAAAAATATATTGTCATATCTACTTTAACATTATACGCATTATTTAAAAATAACACATCAAGGTTGCGTTCCAATATTCACTGCCAGTTTTACCGAAAATTTATGAGATACGTTACATGCACCATAGATGTTGTAGCACTGGCAGTGAATATTGGAATGCAATCTAAAGTAAAAAGTAATGGCAGAAAGAGAAGTAAAAAGAAAGGAAAAAAAGAATCGTTATACCTTTTCTTTGTCATTTATCATGTCGTACACATAGGTTCCGAATGGATCCGCGTTTATGTACTTTCCGAAGCCATGAACAGCTTTGAGCTCGCACTCGTCCACGCATACGCGTCCATTGACAATCACATATTCAGGTACCCCAGTTACTTCCATACCCTATATTAATAATATTAATTAAATAATTAAATTACTATCACTGATATACTTTTTATTATAATTATTGTAATTAACAATAATTCAATAATCTATGTCTTTCTGAAAGAATTATCGTCGTTGAGAATATGATAGATCGCAATCTCACATATTTTGCGATGAAAACAATCTACATACAATGCATGCATATCGGACAATATTATAACTATCGAAAGTGGATGACTCAATCAAACTTGCCTCGAAGATGTTGAAGTCAACAGCCTGGACATGGGTCTGAGCGGAAATGGTACGTTTCCTGTTGGGATCCCAGACGACAATGTCGGCGTCTGAGCCGACGGTTATAACACCCTTTCGAGGATACAGATTGAAAATTTTGGCAGCATTTGTGCTGGTAACTGCAACAAATCGCATAGGGTCCATTATACCAGCGTGCACACCCTTCTCCCAGAGCACTGCCATCCTATCCTCCACACCATTCACGCCGTTAGGAATCTTCGTAAAATCGTCTTTGCCCAGAGCCTTCTGCTCGGCATTGAACGTACAATTATCGCTGCCGGTAGTTTGAAGATTATCTCTGAAAAAGTTGTATTAGTGCATGCGTCTGAAGATTTCGTACTCTCGGGAAAAAAATCAAACCATCAATTAAGTACCTTGACATCGAGTAAAGGCTAAAGTAATCAAAATTAATAATACGAAATTAAATAATAGTAAACGTCAAATGATTAAAAGTTGAGGGATGATACTCATTTAATAGTAATCGTTAAACTAGCAGTTTTTCCCCTATTCATTTAATCGACATTAATGCGCTTCACTATGCAGGCAACTTCCTACGTCGTAGCTATTAATATCCAGACCAAGAGTTACGCTTATGTCATTCTTGTAATTTTGTTATTATAATTTATTGCCATGAAGTGAACGTTTGAGTGAAATAATACGGGGTAATAATCCAACACAATTCTTAAATCCGAAAAAAAAAGAGAATTAAAAAAAAAAGATTAATAAACTGCATAAGAGTATAAAGAGAATGAAAAAATTATATATAATAATATTCATGATATGCCAAAATCATAGTCTTCTCATTTTCCCTTTTTTCGTTTAATTGGAAACAAATATCTCTTAATCAAAAAGTTAAAATATTTATAGTTTTTAATATAAAAAAATTCAATTAAACGCGCGATGCGAGAAGGAACAACCCAGTTATTATAAAGACATCAGGGATTCTTTATACAATCTACTTACTGGGCCAGGTGTTCAGTTAGATAGGCAGGTGTCGTTGGGTCAGGCCGCAACGGTGGGTTAGTAATAAAACGCCTTGCTCTTTCCACGTCTTTGCCATATTGCTCGCTACCATCGATACCGATGGTGCTTGCCAAGGTTTCCCCGAAAACGATGATACCGTCCGATCGCTTCGCCGACACAACGTCGGCAGCCGACTTGCTTGAAATCGCCGTTATGTATAATGGACTATTCACCTAAACGCGATATTTTTATTCTCTCATTGAGCTGCTATATTCTTTCTATCGTTCTGTTTACTATTAATAAAAAAACAACTTATAACAGAAAAAATTTATACCGAAATTCGATAAAAATTTCAAAATGCTTCAATACTAAAATTATCGCTATTATCTTTTATTAAGAGACACGGTAGTGTCTCGCGCTAAGCTGTACTAAATTGCCTTGTATTCTATATATGAGACGTTCCATGTCAACGGACAAGTGTCTGGGCAAAATTTGTGAAGGCGAAATAAGACGTTCGATGGCTTAAAATTTTCGTTTTTATATGTGGTTTAAGGAAAAACGTGACGTTTTTTAAAATTCAAAGCGGTTGCTCCAATATTTTATTCATTTAGAATGAATAAAAAACTTATAAAAATTATTGAAAACGTTTATTTCATTAATCAGGTAGTCCAAAATTCATTTGATTTTCGTGAAAATCGATATTTGGGAGTTTTTCGAATCATTCATGAACAATCCGTAGTTCAAAAACGCTTTTTTTCTTAAACTATATGTAAAAATGAAAATTTTAAGCCCTCGAATGTCTTATTTTGACTTTACAATTTTTCCCAGACACTTGTCTCCGTTGACGTGAAACGTCCCATATAAATATTAGCTTTTATGGAATAATTATACTAAAGGAATAATGTACTAAAGAAATTATATGAAATATATAACATTAGCGTATAAAATTAGATTATATAGTGTTTTTAATTCTAAACGTATTTTTAATTCTACGCATTTTATAATAAGTATATGTCAAATTCTACACAAATCAAAAAGCTATCAAACAAAATCTTTTTCAGCCGTGCTCGATTTACATCTAACAATTTAAAAAAGCTTCAAATAAAACGTATTTTTATATCAACTTCTATATAACATTTTATATATTTTTACATGCGCAATACGTAATGCTAAAAGTAATAAAAATAACCATAAGAGAGAAATATTTGTAACAGGAAAATGAATAAAAAGAGAAAAAGGACAAATAAAGATAACGACAGTTACTTTCAATATGCATGCGAGTAAATTTCGACGGTACTGTCAAATATAAATTTCAGTGTGCGAACGGACGGCATAATTGTGCAATTTGCGCGTATGTCACGCAAGCGTCTAGCTGGATTACATAGAAACTTGAATTACTATTGCTGCAATTGCAACCTATTTCCGCTAATCAGCGGAATAGAAAGTGTATGGAGGGCACGAAACAAGACTCGGCACTTTGGTACTCGGTAATCGATACCTTGGGTCGTATATTATACATACAGTACATGCAACATTACTTGAGAAACACAATTCGAGATCAATAGAGTAAAAGATACCTAACGGCAAGAAACATCGAGTTTTTCAAGATTTTCAACACTCTCTACAAATCTAACTTTTCTTTCGATGGGTACGCTTACTTATTTAGGAAAAGACCAGTCGTGCGTTATTCCCTTTAAGTAAAAAGGAAAATACGTTGATATACTATTGCATCGATCTCAAAAGAAAGTGTTTTCCGACATTTTACAGACAAGATACTATACTTGGCAAGTACGATTTATTTAGGAATGTCTGCAATTAGATCTATGTTTAAATGTTGCTGCTAACAACCAGCAATTTGTATTAACTCAACCTAGCTTTGGCCAGTAATATATAATACATATCCGATTTGCTAATCCTCAAAGTATCAAGTATCTATAATTTCGTACATAGATGATTTCATAAATTTACGTTCTAGCCCGCTTCGATGTCAAAGTCGTCCTAAATTTATCGTTGGCTTTGACTCACTTAGCTAACATGTTCACAAGTACTCGTGGCGTATCCGTATCCAGTCTGAGTGGTGGACTTATAACGTGGCCGGCGGCATGTCTCCAGCACTTGTGTAAGTAGTTGGTACCATCCGTGCCGATTGCAGCTGCCAAGGTTTCGCCAAAGACACAAACGCCACGCTTACGCGCGGCCTCCACTTGTTCGGCGGCACTACGGCTCATCACATGCACTATGTACAGCGGACAATTGACCTAAGCATGCGGAATTTTTATACTAATACGGCATGAGGTGCGACAGTAATTCTTAAACATACATTTTTTCAGTTGCCTGAGAAAGAGAGAGAGAGAGAGAGAGAGTAAAAAATTAATTTTTTTAAAGCAATATATATCTTTTTTAAGTATATGTAAAGATGGAATTTAAAAACTATAAAATTAAAAAATATAAATATAATTAAAGAGTTAAAATATTTAAGAAGATATAAGGAAAGAAGAAAGGAAGATGATAAAGTGTAGGTTTAGAGAGGAAAAATAAAATGAAATAGATAAGCAATAAAGCAATTTTAAGCACTATTATCACATTTTATGTCGTGATGCAGATATTTCTTGATCTCAGTACGACTCGAAAATTTCGTACATCAGGCACATGCTATGAAAAGTAGCGTCCTGATTTCTAATCTACTAAATTGATGATCGTTCATGAACTAAATATTGCTACGGGTAGCGTGCCAAGTACATCTATATAAAACTTTAAAAGTGGCGAAATAAAAAAAATCTTGCGTGTTTGGGACAAAGTAAGATATACATATATATCAAAACAGATAACAATGAACGAATATACGAAACTCTAACTAAAAGATATCAATGTTTTAGCAATGATATCATAGCGAAGCGTTCAGTTTACCTGATTCGCGATAACGCATGCTCTATTCACAGCCTCCGCTTCGACCTCTTCAGGGCGTGACATTTCGTGGCCTTCTGGGCCAGTTACTCCTGCGGCTAGTAATTTCTTCGCATTCTGGAACAAGTTTATAATGATGGAAGAGAACTCGTATGTTGTATTTCACATTAAAATCCTGTTTGAAACAACGTGGATATACGTTGAACCTGCATTACTCACATAACTTTCAAGTCACATAGCAGTTTTATTAGCTTAGCTTTCTTTTTATGTTACTTTGTTCGTCGACCGTAGTATATATACGAAAGATATTAAAAGCTCAGAAGTTATTATATATAAATATACTATTTTCATATTTTATGCTTTCAGAAATATGTCTATATTGAAACATGCGAAATCTCGTAATCTCGAGAGGATTATTAACCAGAATTAATAATCAGAAGTATCGTGAAGCGAATTGATCTCAGGTAGTGTGTGCATTAGCGTACGTTATCATCATTTTGTACATATGTATATACCTCCGCGATAAGGTCGCCGTTCTCCGCATGCACCATTGCAATAGCGCCGATCTCCTTGCATGTCTTGAAAGTCTCGATCAGCTCCGGATCTCTGAGCATAAATATATCGTGGTACGCCATAAACATTTTGAAGCTACCGACGCCGTGCTCTTTCACCAGAGTCGCCATGTCCTCTTTGACCTGCAGACAGATGAGGCAATGAATATCGATGAATAATGAATTGCGAACGTGGCTTCCTTTCGATTGTATGATGGACAGCAGCAAATAAGGAGGCTCGATGGCAAATCGCTCTCGTCTATCGTGCCCTCAGGCAGCATGTGCGGTTTTCTCATCCGCCGTCACTCGGTATTCCAACCGCGTGATCGGCAATCGTAGATCGTAGTTATAAGCCGGTTACGAGAACTGCACAACCAATTTACAGAACGAGTTTGTTAGTTTTCCTACATTTGGAATCGCTCTGATCCAATCTCTATCGAATGTCGATAATCAAAGCTGTGAATTTTTAAAGACTTGAACCATCCTAAGACATGAAGCCACGAAAAATTGAGTTTAACTGAATTCTCTCTCCGCTTCGCCATATTATGGATAAGAATATAATTTGAACAAGAAAATGAATAGTTAAATCTTAATTAATCATCGATATAGTAGTAATCAGATTACTACTAATATCAGACAGTGTTAACATCTGATGAATTCGTTTAAAACTTTTAAATTGAATTACGACTACCTCAATGACCAGGAACTACAAAAGATAGAATTGTATTAATTTTATGTAATTCGTGTATCGTAACTTGCATCGGAATTAGATAAATTGTCATTACGGCAATTGACGTCTAATTAACATAATCAACGTGTAAATCTATAATAGATCCCAGTAAACGAGAATGGATTGAAATGGATTGAAATGGATTCAGATTTTCAGAAATATGGATTCACGAATGTTAAAATGAATACTTTTCAATCCTGAATGCATTTTTATTCATTTATAGGAATTGCACGGAGCATATCTTTCAATCTAAAAATAATATCAGCTTTTTCTGTGCATTGTGAATACCGTTCAATTCAAAATTTTGAATAGGAAATGCAATTTTTCAATCCAATAGTATCCAATTGAATCTAATTGAATCCAATTGAATCCAATTAGATCCAAAAAAAGTCTTCACTATTTAAAACGCGCATTCAGATAGAAAAAAATTCAATACATTTTAATCCATTCTCGTTTACTGGGATAAACGTCATAAAGTGTTGTATTTTGAAATATCGACTTTAAAATATCATAATTTTAAATATGATTAACAGAAGCGAAGAAAGATGTCAAACCTAAATAAATTTTCTTTCTTAGGAAGATTTCGTGTTAAATATTGAAATTATCTCGTTCCGGATAACTTAAAAGACAGAAGAGGTAGTACACATGGTGCGATGACCTGGCTTAAACATTATGTTGCACTTATAGCATAAACGCTTGATTGACGCATCATATCATAAAAGCAGTAGTAGTAGTCGATAGCTAGGAAAACTGATCAAATTAGAAGCAGATACTTGTGACATGTTCTAATAAACTTGATTGAATTGCAATATATCTGTTGTAAGATATAATATGTAATAAATATAAGGTCATAAAATGTTTTAATCAATTCACCTTCGGATTCCAAGATGTGACGGCGATGTGCAACGCATAATCGCAGCATACTTTTTGGTCCGCCGATTGCCTGTATCTCTCGTAAGCCTCCACGAGGCTCTCGTCTTTTCGCGGCACCACAAAATCGATAATCATCGTGGTACCGCCAGCGACTGCGGCTTTTGTGCCCTGATAAAAGTCATCTACCGTTTTGGTATTCATAAACTCAAACTCGAAATGTGTATGTGGATCTATGCCACCGGGCATTACATATTTTCCACGAGCATCGATGGTTCTCGTGCCACCCGGGATAATGAGATTACGTCCCATTTGTCTGCGAACAAAAATGAAAATTTTTCTCAAATAATTTCCTTCGTCCTTCGCAATCAATTCAAGAGACTTTTTGATAAATTGTGGTTCAATTAGTTAAATCAATCTCAGTTGACATTGGCCAGTTGATTTGGACAGTTTCTACCGATTATCTAACGGTTACGATCAGTCACGTTCGTTTGATGAATCACAGTGAACGCGTAAGCGTGTTATCTGTCGCCACACACCTCATTTAGTTCCAAGGGATAAAATTACCGCGAATGTATCACATTTAGTTTGTATAAAGTAGCGGTTAGACAAGTAAGCTAAACATATTGTAAAATTACCGGCATACTACTAGTTAAAATACACAAATCTCGCTATTTTTGAGAGCCGTCAGAATTTGAGCTTTTTGAGAGTAATTTGCTCTAATAAGTCTACTAGTGATTTCTGCACACGATGCGTTATATGTATAAACGTGGAATACAAATCAATGTCACGCATATCGTATAATTAAAATGCATTTCGCATTTGCATACCTGATGATGCCATCCTCGATGTAAACATCGCTGTCGATTATTCCATCGTCGTTCACAACCTTGCCATTTTTAATTAACAATCTGTTCTGCGCGCTCTAGAACAAAATAATATTTGCGTTAGTTTAACGAGAGTTTATAGTTTTAAAAAAAATATTGCTTCTACTAATGATTGATGGGATTTAATGGATTCAGCAGACCTCTTCTACTATCGACCATGACTTGTTTGACTGTCCTTGGTATAACGCAACTTGATAGTACGCAACGTGCATGGACTTCAACATCCGGCATACGCAATTAATGTATATACGTGCGCATCGCCGTGTACTACGGTATTATCAATCAGCGATGTATAAGAGAGAGAGTGCCCGTTCACGCACTTCCGCCAATGTACGCGATACGGATTTAGAGCATGTACACGATGTGCATGATCCGATAAGCGAATAATTATCCCATGTTTTTTTTTAAAGGATATACACAAAATACATTTCTGTTTATTTCTGCAGCGAAATGCAAATGAATTAGCGTTTAAAAAATTTTATTAGTGTATAACACTTATTAACGTCGTAAAATACTGAAATACTAAATATATTAGAAGTCTAATTAGAAATTGATAAGTTTGTAATTATTTCATTTCTTACATATATCAATGATAGATATAGATAGGTATAAAACTGATCCAAAAGATTTAACGATGTCAAAAATCTCAATGACCAATTAACGAAATCAAAAAGTATAATATAACGCAGTTATCAGTTGCAATTATCTTTTGTTTTATTATTGACGTAACATTGCATTCCGTATACGATCTTTATCTTTGGAGGAATAAATTGCGGAGAGACAGAGAGAGAGAGAGAGAGAGAGAGAGAGAGAGAGCCGGCATTAGAATATGCACCATCGATGCACCACAGCTAGGTTGCATCGGTGCATGGACGAACATCCCTTTAAAGGGCTGTTGTGTTTTTCGCTCTCGTGCGTGCGGAGAGAATATAAAGGCCCAGCCCCTGGAAAAGGGGACTGACGATGAGGACGACAGGGCGTCCATCGGTGTTAGAGAGAACAATTCCCGCTATCCACACCAGCATAGTCTAGACTTGCGCTCCATGGTCCAACCAGTCACGTTGATAACGAGTTCTTCCGGGCGAACTCTACAAGACCCCTTCGATCTTGAGCGAATTTTAGCCGCCCTTCGATGCTTCTGTGTCACCGATCCTAATCAGTTCCGTATTGTTTCGCGCCAGAAAGCAATTCGATATACAGATAGCTCAAATACTATTTTACAATCTGTCTAAAGAGATTTTCATGACACATAACTGTGAAATATTACAAATAAACATTTACATTAGTACGAGTTCCGTATACAACCAAGGCCATTGACTTGTGAATGATTTCTCAAACAATCTGACACTGATAATTACACTTTTTGATAGATATAGGATTTGTTGCATCAATTGAAAACGTTCAACAGAATCGATGCAACAATGCATCTCGATTGAATATGTAAAATTAAATGTAAAACAGACGTGTAGGAGATGAGTAGAGAAACGCGGATGCTTGACCTTCGAATTTTCTGTGCTGAGAGACCATCGGCACATGTATTTTACGAAGGCGGAGACCTTGTCATCTTCAGAGTGTAGTATTAGCAGCAGCCGAGAACATATGTGTTTCATGTGTTAGAATTAGAAATCAGCGCGCGAGTATTTTCGGCGAGCACGCTCTTTAGATACGTGTACGACATCGTGTGTGATTTTTTAAGTGAAATCTTTGCGGGAGTGCTTTGAGAGCAATGAAATGAAGTATCAGTCACTGATTTATAACTCTCTCAAAATTCTCAAATCGATAAATTATGCAAAACATATTTGGTTTTATTGTTGATCTCTTCTTCTCTCTCTTTCTCTGTCTTTGTCGAATTATTAATTATATAAGTAGATAACATTAATAATAAATGTATTTATTGCAAACTTTAATCAAAAGAATAAACCTTTTTACATTCATTTCGTCTGATACAATTTGATTAAACACATGTCGCATAATTTTAAAATTAATAAATTACATTAAATTGTTTATATATATATATATTATATATTTTAGCATAAAGGAACTAGTTCTAAACAGTTGGAATAAACTTTTATAATTTCGTATAAAAAGATACCAAATGTACGATAAAATAGACAACTAATATAATTAGATATAATTAATCTTTCAACTTAATATACGGTACAGATTTTTTTCATAAAAATACTTTGTGTACAATATATAAAATTACTGTTTATATTATTATATAATATATAAAGCAATATTCACGCTGTAAAAGCGACACTAATACGTCGCAAAATGCGGGTTGCGTCAAGCCAGACCAGGGGCCCTGGTTAAAATCAATAGTCTCCGACACTTCCTGCCTATACGTCTCAAATTCGCCGGCACGAATCGACACGGTTGTAACTTGTAAGTAAAAATCCCTTATCGTGAATATCTTCTTACGATTAGACCGTGAGCGGCAATTTGGCGTGTCAGAACTTGCTATTCTCTCTCTCTCTCTCTCTCTTCATCTCTCAAGGTCTCTCACAAAGTATGAGAATAGGATTCCTCTTTTAGACTTTCGGTGCTAGGCGCGAGAATGCAGATAGATCGATCTCTCAACAAATCTCTGTTATTTCGTTGCAATATATTTATGCGACATGTTGTTTCCTTTACCAATGAGGAAGAAGCCAACAGGAGCTATTTTTAGAAACTGTAACTTGCATCTAATTTACGCTACTCATTTAATTTAACTGAAAATATAATGCCTGACGCGCGCCTGGACTTTTCATGTACAAAAGATGCTTATTTAGATCGCAAAAAATTATAATTAAAAGCTCTACATAATGAGAAAAAGAAAATTTACGGAGGTATCTTTTATCTTTATAAGAAATGAAAGATGCTCTCTAAACCAGTAATTTTAAACAACCGCGATGCACTAAACAAACAGTGCGAGACACACGCGGCGGCCAATTATAAGGAACATATAAGTACAATCATACTCAAATTTCACAAAAAATTATGAATAGCATAATAATAATAATATTGCAATAGAAATTAATTTAATTCGCGAGATTACTACAGTGGTTTAATTGCGTTTATATAGTCTGGAAATTTTTCGGCGCACAGTTTGTTAGACTACAAGTGTGGTATATATGTCAAGTACATATACAGCATATTTAGTGATTCAAGATTGAATTATTTAAGCATTTCAAGATCTAGCTTCGACCGATATAGAGTTCTAGTTTATCGATTGTGTTCTCACATGTACGGTCTAAAAATGATATTATTATTATAATAATAATATTGTACATTAAAGTGCTTCTCAAGAAAAGTGGTCTGGTTTGTAAATCGTTATTAATTTTTTCCAAGGGCACACGGTACTTAACAAATATGTAGACACGCAAATTAATCTGCGCTTGGGAAAGACTCAATAGTTACGCAAGACAAACTGCTTCTTCTTAATTATCGTACGATCGGCGCCTATCGAGTAATTGCGTCATTTTTCTTAATGAGAGATACCGTACGCGGATGCACATGCGTGCATCTAATTCATGACTGCGCATGAAGCCTACGAGAGAGCTCTCTTTGAGACGACATTGTTGCCCTTGGACCGTATCCCACGATCGCGTTTTACCACATAAAACGATCGCGCGAAGATGCACAGCACACGCGTACAAAACTGGCATTGAATTACTTGAATCCTACGCAAAATATTATCCAACATTTCCCACATCTCACTTTAATGACAAACTATAATAATCAACTTTATTTGTATCCTACTATATGTAGGTATACGCTGATTGTTTCTAGAGTCCGACCGAAATTTCGGCTTCGGTCAGTTTCGGTAAAAAATTAGAGTTTTGATTTGATTTCGGTTTCGGCCGAAATTAAAAGAAAACTTCGATCGGTAGGTTAAAATGTCGGAGGTTAAAATGTGGTTTCAGTCAGACTCTAATTATTTCTTAACTGACATTAAAAAGATTGCAATCGTTAATATATATTTTGGTCTTGTTTTAATACATCTATTAACACATCATATATGTATATTCTATAGATTTTACGCAAACGAGAGAGATCGCGAATGATCGCGAACGACCTGCCTGTTTATTCTACATTCGTAAATATGACATGCACAGGAAATGATTGAACATAAGTCACACCTGGCTTCCTCTATCACGGCGTGTACGTTTGAGAATTGGTGTCGGCAATGCGCATTTCGATTGACCGACTTAGCGGCCTAGTTGCAAATTGAATTTTGCATAGTGCATCGTCGGGAAAACGCAATGACGAACGGTAAGAAGGGATTTTTCGTGAGATTGCTTCGACCAACAATAGCTAAATAAAACTCTAAAACTAGGCAAATGCGAATAGAGCAAAAGGAAGCAGAGCAAGATAAGTAGCTAACAAAAATTGCCGTGAATAATAGTATACTGTGACACGCTTCGAAAGCCATATGTGTCAATTTTTCAATTTAGTCATATGCGACGCGTGTTGCGTCGTCGAAATAATGATAATTTATCACACGTCAATAATTGACTGTGCATGCTATTCTACAAAGCTAATATCACATTTTTAAAATAACATTTTTAATATAAATTTTATTAATTGATAATAATAACATAAATTGTACTAATTAATGGACTTGTAATCTTTTGATAGGAAGTGCCAGAATTCTTCAAATGTTAGAATTTTTCAGAAAACGAATGATCGATTAATAGATCAGAGAATACAGGTTATCCGAGATAACAACGTTTACGTTCGACCAAGATCGATTTGGAATACAATATATTATTGAGTTGTATAAAAATAACAGAACATTAACTTGCGGAAATCAAATAACAACATTAAATGCTTAAATATGAGATGCAACATACTTGTAGCCTGTAAATAGCATAGCAATTTATAAATTCACTATAAATTCTTACAAACGGTAATATTAAATATAATAGATAGTTTACAAGCTATTATATTAATACTATATATTATCTAACTAATTTTACCAATTAAACGATCTAAAAATCTTTCAGTTTACTTTGCCCGACGATTAACTTGGACAGTAACTTGGCAAACTGCCGTT